TTCGTCTTCTCCGGCAGAATTCATAACAAAATCATAATTTAAAAAATGTTTCAAATATTTTAGTGTTTTTGTTAATTTTATCAACTTCAACAGTTCCTAATTCTAGGTATTGATCCAAATTTCCAGTGCTTCAAAGTTTGTAGAAAACCTGCGTAAAAAATTACTAATAATATTCTACAATATACGTGTACCGCCCATGTTTTTTATTTACTTACCTTTGAAACGACGGGGAACTTCTCCAAATGTATATTTTAGGGCTAACATTGAATAGTAATTTTTAGACTTACAACTAACAAAATTCGCTAAAAAACATTCTAGAAACTATAAAAACTTTAAAAATATGCCCTGGGTATATAAAATCATACAAAATGTACGAACAAAACTGACAGTTCCCTAGTGCTTGTTGACAGTTATGAGAAAATTTTAGCGCTACCATAATAGACGAACGACATCAAAGACCAAGGAGGGAAGAGAAAGAAATAGAAAAAACGGTTCATATTGGTTTCAAATAGATCCAGACCGTTAGTTATCTATTATTCATTTGTTTATCTGAGAGAGTAGTATAAGGCTCGTACAACTGAAGAGCAATTGAAAGAGTGATTCCCCTATATAGGTCCACCTTTATGTAACATTGATAATATTATATTTGACCAAGAGTACAGGCAGAATCAAAAATTGAATTAAATATGTATAAAATCCACTTATGTGCATCCTAGAAACTCTAGGGGATTTATTGTATTTACATTTAATAACATCATAAATATCGTTTGTTAGAAAAGGAACATTAAGATAAGGATGATTAGTGTTCTGAATACACAGATGATTATATTTTTTCTCAAATAATCGTAATTATTGTCTCATTGTCATATTAAAACTAGAGATTGTATAATGAAATATTTTGTTATTCTTATGTTAACGGGGTTACGTTATTTGTATGGGGGTGGGTCATAAAGAGAGTAACTAAAGCATCTGGTAAAAATGCTTGTCATTTTTGAATAGAGGGTAAATATAGTCGTAAAAATGTTCCCATATTTGAACTGGCATGTTCTTATAAGTGGTGCAAATATTGGAAATTTTTGACAGTCAACCAGAATTTATTAGAATTGTTTAAATTGGATAATTTAATCTAGAAGTTTTTAAATTAAGGTAGCTTTGTTTTAAGTTTTAGAAAAATTAACATACTTATAAGATTTTATAGCTTTCTGCATAATATCCTTCTTAGTTGTAAAACAAGTTTTATTGAATCGTGGTTTGTTCATACACTTTTTTAAGTTCCAGAAAGATAGGAACGTCAATTCGTAGAAAAAGTGGGATGGACGATTTGATGATTTTTACCCCTTGTAATCCGTAACTGATTAATAAAATTCTAATAAATGTGATCTTGCAATTTTTAATATCAGTATTTAAATAAGTGTTCGTCAAATATCACCCAACTTAATTGGACATTTATTATAATGCCGTTTATATCATTATTAAGAATTTATGGATAAATTTAAAGATGCTTTGTGAATTAGGCTATAAAAGGGAAATAGCCGACTAAAAAGTATTTCAAAAATTATGTACAGAACGACAAACAATATGCCTACCGGGTACCGATTTTTATAACTTAACTTTATTTTTTTTATTGAAGCTTTGAATGCAAACAGACCATATTCTTTTATACAGGATGCTTCAAAAAGGTATGTCATAAATTCTTCCTCAGAGAGATTACCAAAAAATAAGTGGATTTGGCTATATTTACCTATATCAAAAACTGGCTGCTAACAAAGTTAAACTAACATTCCAAAAAACGTTTTTCTTTTGTAAAAAGTTTGCTGTTGTGATTTTTTCTTTGAATTTTTTGCCAGTGCTGTAGATTTTAAGGCCCAATATTCTAAGGAGAAAAAAAATTAAAGCGACCCCTTTAAAAAAAGTTTCTGGGTTGGGTACCTTTTAACCCCCCCGTATTTTTTTGACATATAGAAACTTGCTTTATCGATCTTAAAATCAAAAAGAACTATGAATTTTTAAATTTTTTTTTATAGCGAAATGAACTTTGTATCTTTCTTAATTAACGAGCTATTTACAATTTTTTAACTGAATTTCTAGAATAATTCGTTCGTCCTGGACTTAACATATCAACAAAATATATAAAAAGCAGTGGTGTGCCTAGTGCTGTGCTTGAGCCGCCCCTGCAAAAACCTCTTTTATTTATATTTTTGTATTCAAGAAGGAGGAGGACATGTTGAACATTTACTAAATTAAATATTTTATAAAATATGTCTAATAATTATTGTCAAGTGTTTATTTTTAATTGTTAATTTTTTCTTAATTGTTCAATTAAACAATATTTTTTTTTAATTACTATTAAATTTAATAAATACATTTCCAATCTATCGTGTATTTTTATCAAAGGCATGGTGAACCCATGAGGATGGGTGGCACACCATTTTTTGGCGCCAATCCAATATTGTAAATACTGTTACACAGGTTTTTTGGTATCGCAATTTATTTTAACTTAACTTTAACAACAATTATACAACTGATAACATTAACATGTAACGTCTATCATAAAACTGAAAACTGACGTTAGGATCATCCTTATATAGCTTGCTTGACCGTTCTCGAACCTTCTCGAACTGTCGTCTAGAATATTCTTGACGGCTAATGACATTTCTAGAGTATTCTATCTTCTTTTACTTGTACTTTTACTTATGACGACCGCAGCACACTATAGTGTGATGGGTGACATTGCACTTCTTTTCGTATTTGAACGTTTCCTATAACGGCCGCAGGCCACTGCAGAGTGTAGTGTAACAATACCTTTTATACAAAAATATAAATAAAAGAGGTAGTTTTTGCAGGAGCGGCTCACACATAGTCTAGTCACACCACTGATTTTTATCTGCGGTTTTTGTACAATAACTCCTGACCTACTCTTAGCTTTGTTAATATGTCCAATATGTCCAGGACGGACGAATTACTCTAGAAATTCAGTTAAAAAATTGTAAATAGCTCGTTAACTAAGAAAGATATAAAGTTCATTTCGCTATGTTAAAAAAATACGGGGAGGTTAAAAGGTACCCCATGCACTGAATAGTGTTACGTCTCATTCGGATTTGGGTGTAACCATTACTTCTGATTTAACCTAGTCTGAGCATGTGCTAACTACCTGCAAACGTGCCAATTCACTTATATATATCCTTAGAAAAACCATCGTGAAAATATCATTTCAGATGTCAGTGAAATTATTTAAAACATACGTGCGACCCATATTGGAGTATGGTGGCCCAGTGTGGTGTCCAGTGCTAGTGCGTGATCAAAATCTACTTGAAAATGTACAACGACGTACGTCGCGTATAAGTTTTGGACTAAATCGACCGTGTTACGCCGACCGGTTAATAATGGCGCATTAACAGACATTTCAACAGCGCCGCATGCGAGATGATCTAATTTTAAGTTTTCGCGTATGAAAATTTAATTATGCTGGCCTGTTTTATTTATATTCTTTAAATCATGATAACAGGCTAAGAGGTCACCAATTCAAATTAAAAAAGAACACTATAGGACTAAATACAGACAATATTTTTTAACAAACAGAATCTTTGAAGATTGGAACAGCTTACCCAATGATGTTATTGACTCTACTTTGATAAACATGTTTAAAAATAGATTAGATTTTTTTATGAACAATTAATTATCTTCAAACCATATTAATTTGCTATTGTTTACAAGTTATTGTAAATTGTTAGGCTATATAAAACCTAGTTCTCAGCCTTTAATTGTTTTTAATAATAATAATAAAAAAACCCCAACTTTTTTTAAAGGGGTCGCTTTAAATTTTTTTTCTCCTTAGAATATTGGGCCTTCAAATCTACATCACTGGCAAAAAATTCAAAGAAAAAATCGCAACAGCAAACTTTTAACAAAAAAAAGTGTTTTTTATGTTAGTTTAACGTCCTGTAACTTTGTTAGGAGCCAGTTTTTGATATAGGTAAATATAGCTAAATCCACTTATTTTTTAAAAATCTATCTGAGGAAGAATTTATGACATACCATTTTGAAACACCCTGTATATACCGCACAAGAGAGAAGTCCTACACGCGTACTATAGGGTGCTAAACTAGCACCAAAGAATCGGCTTCGGCCTAAAATTCCAAATACTAACTATACAATATTTTATCAAAATTTTCCTAATAATTTAATATTAAGAAAAATAAATTTTTTCTTCATACAAATTCTAATAATTTAACCTCTATAAAACATTCCAAGAAACCTTTTTCCCTCTATTTCAACCAACAACCCCCGATAATCTTTAATCTTTTCTGAAAATTCTCAATCAATCATTTTTTATCACCATAACAAGAATAATTTTATCAAAATTTCTCATCTATTCAATAACATTTATGTCCCAGGTTTTCTTCAATTTTAACAAATGTAAATTATTTTTGTCATCATAAATAATATTGTTATGTGAGCCATTTCATTATTCAGTCATGCTCTAACCCTACAAGTCCCTCTCTGTCTTATTTGGCCTTTGAGGCTCAACTTGTGAAGATAAATAGTAATTAGTAGATAGACAGTGGTGAATATAAATAGTGATCAGTTTAAAGACATTCGAAGTATATATAAATTAAAATAGTATTGTTTAAAACAAATAAGTGTTTAAATAAATTATTAATAAATAAACTGTTGTTTGAAAATAAACAAACATCACAATGTTTATACTCAGAAATAAATTTCCATATCAATATATTGTAGAAGTGGCTGTATATCTACGCGCTTTTTCCTATATTAAAATGCAAATCCATGATTCCATGTGATTTAGAAACCAAAAGTCAAAATCAATTTCGAGTACTTTTAAAAAAAGTTTGTTTCTAGGCACCTTCATGAACGGTTTTCAATATTAAAATTAATGCCGGGAAGTATATTTTGACCGAAAACTATTTGTATATACGCAGATTTGATTTTGTGCAAAGTCGAAACATTTATATTTAGTATACCAAATTAATTAATTTTAGGATACGTTCTATGGGATCAGCAGTAATGGGTCTGTGTTACGTTGCATCAGGAAGAATGGAAGCTTATCAGTGCGATGGTTTATATCCATGGGATGCAGCTGCTGGAGTTCTTATCGTTAGAGAAGCAGGGGGCTATGTCTGTGATTCAAGAGGTGAGAGTAGATTAACTAAAGAGTTAAATTATGCTTAAAATAAGCTGAATAAATATCTCCATTTCTATATGCGTAATTTTTAAAATATTTTTCGTTAAATTATGAAGATTATTTTAATCCAATATTTATAAGCTAATATTATGTAAATCTAATTGTTGATTGAGCGCCACGGCAAATAATTATAATAGCCGTCCCTTCCCCTACACAAGTCGTTCAGTCGACTTCAGGGGTTGAAATTCACTCGTAAGGGGGTGAATTAGGGAGAGTATTATTATCATTATTATTATTATTATTATTATTATTATTATTATTATATATTTAAATGGAAATAAGGACACTCATTATCTTTGAGTAAAAAGAGAACTTGTTTGAAAGCTTTAGATAATACCATACAATCTGATTGTATGCTTCAAATTCACATTAGGTGTGTTCACCAGCGTATGCTTGTTCGTGCATATCTAGGGAGTTCCCCGACTCACGTCTGTTAAAAAACATATTTAATCCATTTTTAACAATTTTTTAATTCAAACAAAATAAATCAAGGTACAAAATCACACCTGCATAATAAATTTATTTCCTAAATATTTAAATCTTCGTTCGCATATTTATGATATCATAAAGGTCAAACAATGCCAACACAAGTTTGTTTACACCATAATTCAGCGATCAACATATCTATATTTCTTGTCAGTAAAAATACATCTTAAAAATATCAACCCAAGTTTGTACTTCAATTCGCCAATTTTTCTCAAAAAGTAATTTTTTTAAAAAATTTAAATTTTGGAAAAATAAATAAGGTAATAATATCTAGAATATGCATATTTTTTAAACTTTTAATTCCTTCCAGTTTCCGAGAGAAAAAATCAAAGGGCTTTAAATTTTGAAATATCATGATGAAAATAAATGCATTCTTCAACAGCACTATTCTTAATATAATCCATGAATTTAAGCTCTTAATGTCTTGTAATTGATTTTTTAAAATTCGCCAAAATTAGTGGCTAAAACGCCTCGTTAAGTGCTATTTTCTGGTGTAAACTGGTGTAAATCATTTCAGAAAACGAATGAGGACTGACAGTGTACGACACGATAGTTACAGTCGCGTTACAACAGAAGGCAGCACTTAAAGAGGCGTTTTGGCCACTAATTTTGGCGAATTTTAAAAAATCATTAACAAGACATTAGGAGTTCAAATTTTGGGATTACGTCAAGAATACCGCTGTTGAGGAATGCATTTATTTTCATTATATTTCAAATTTTTTTTTTCTTGGAAACTGGAAGAAATTAAAACTTATGCATATTTTAAATATTATTGCCTAATTTATTCTGCCAAAATTTAAATTTTTTAAAAAAATTACTTTTTGAGATATCCTTGTCCGAAAATTATAAGGGGGTGCTGTATTCACCTTAACGGTCTTAAATCGTACGACTGTTTTCAGCCAATGATATTCAAGTAAACACACTCCAGGTCAAGCCAACTTCGCTGAAGCTTCCAGCATAAAAAATAATCATTTATTAAAAAAAATAGAAAACCAGTGTGACTATAGACATAATTACTTAATAAAAATATAATGTCAAAAAACGTATTTTATCTACATAAGTGGTACTAGAGAAGATGCTCCAAATGTCTTTCATTTTGTTCAATACCCTTTCTTTACATTTTAATAGATTCCCTGATTCTCTCCATTATATTTTTCTTTGTGGTTACTGGTTCAGTGTATATTTTGTTTTTGATGTAGCTCCACAAAAAGAAATTACAGGAAGTAAGATCGGGAGATCTAACTGGTCTCCCTGTCCAAGTCAGCGACCCTAAATTGAAATACTGAATTTATTCTATTTGGCTGTTACTTGTTACATACTGTATAATTAGTCACATTTAGAAAAGCATAACTCTGAAAGTACAAAAGAAATTATTTATTTTTCAATATCATTTCAATGGTAGTATAGATCAGTGGTCCCCAACCCCAGGCCGCGGACTGGTAACGGTATTAGGATGACGTAATTTGTGTTCTATTAACAGTTGACTTTTAACAGACAAAAACAAACCATTTTGTCATTGAATTTGACATATACCGTTTTTAGTTTAAATATTGTATGCAGGATGTAAAAAGGAAGTTTAAAGGTAGGTATAAAATTATTTTTAATGTTTAAACGAACATAATCTTAAAAATAATAGAAATAAAATGTCAATGAATACCCATAATCTCTATTTTATAAGTACACTATCACTGTCATTCGCAGCTGAACACAAATTACTTCATCACTAATACAGTGTATTCATAAAGCTTTTTAAACTTATCGACCTGTAAATTCTTACATCAACGTCCATTCAGAAAAAAAAAATGGAGTTGGACGATATCGTGAGTTTTCGATGACATTATGAATCGTTACTGTGATTAATAATTCAAACAAATAAGTTTTTTTAAACCAGTAATAAATTAAGGATAATACTACACAAGATTCTCCTCTCGCGTGGTATTTGGAAACATTATTTAAAATCAGAAACATAACTTTTAAGTATAATTTAATTAGTGATGCCACGAGACAAGAGATTCTCGTCTCTCGCCTTTCGTTTCTCGTCTCCCATCTCTCGTCTCTCGTCTCTCGTCTCTCGTCTCTCGTCTCTCGTCTCTCGTCTCTCGTCTCTCGTCTCTCGTCTCTCGTCTCTCGTCTCTCGTCTCTCGTCTCTCGTCTCTCGTCTCTCGTCTCTCGTCTCTCGTCTCTCGTCTCTCGTCTCTCGTCTCTCGTCTCTCGTCTCTCGTCTCTCGTCTCTCGTCTCTCGTCTCTCGTCTCTCGTCTCTCGTCTCTCGTCTCTCGTCTCTCGTCTCTCGTCTCTCGTCTCTCGTCTCTCGTCTCTCGTCTCTCGTCTCTCGTCTCTCGTCTCTCGTCTCTCGTCTCTCGTCTCTCGTCTCTCGTCTCTCGTCTCTCGTCTCTCGTCTCTCGTCTCTCGTCTCTCGTCTCTCGTCTCTCGTCTCTCGTCTCTCGTCTCTCGTCTCTCGTCTCTCGTCTCTCGTCTCTCGTCTCTCGTCTCTCGTCTCTCGTCTCTCGTCTCTCGTCTCTCGTCTCTCGTCTCTCGTCTCTCGTCTCTCGTCTCTCGTCTCTCGTCTCTCGTCTCTCGTCTTTCGTCTCGTGAAAATATTGCGACACGCAGTGTTTTCAGATACATTTTGTTTTGATTGGAAAAAAAGGGGATGTCATTGATTGATGTATTTAAAACTGTTATGAAAAATCATTAAAATCGATAGAACATATAAAGAATAACTTACCGATATATTTAAATACTAGTAATTAAATAACAGTTCGTGAAAAAAACTCAATTAGACACTCATTAAAGTTTACTGATCTGCAACTTACGAAATATACCTACTACATACTTTAAAGATTGGGCTGTTAATTATTTAAAATAAACCTCTTACAAGCAGTACATTAAAAAAAATAATATTTTAGGAGGCGAGTTCAATTTGATGGATCCAAACTTTTTAGCGACAGCTACAAAGAACCTCTCTGAGAAATTTATGGAAATAGAAAGGAAAGCTGATGAAGAACGGGAAAATAACCGAATTAAAGAGAGAAAATTTCAAATTTAAGTTATACATAGAAAGTTGTTTAAGCTAATTAAAAACAAGTTACTCAATTATTTATAATAAAAATGTTTAATGCACATTAAAATTATTGTTTTATAGAAATTTGTTGTCTGTTATTGTGAATTGAAATCTTTTAAAAAGTAAAACAAATGTTGACTCTAAAGGCACAAATACCAAATTTTTTGATCAAATCGTTATAATATTTTTAAAAATAATTATAAAAGAATTTTTAATATGCATAACTAAACAAATAAAAACTAAATAATATACAAGATGTAACAAAAATATGTACAGTAAATTTAACCGCAGTTTCTGGTGTCGAAAATAAGTTGATTTAAACTAATTTGCTTATTTAAAAAGGGATAGTAAAAAAGTTACTAGGTGTTAAAGTAGACATTTTAGAAGTGATTTTGTGCTCGTACTCTAAAACGACTTAACATATTTTATATTGTAAGATTTTAGAAGGGTTCCGCACCCCTTTGACCCGCTACTTTTGACAATGAAATTCAGTTTAAAACAGGACGACACTGAAATCCTACATCTGCTTTGAAATTTTTGTCTCTTACAAAATGTTCAGGGGAGATAACAAATATTTCAAATATTTAATATTGTTTTTTGGGAGTATTTCATTCTGTGCACAAGCGTTTTATTTTTCTTGTTTGATAGCCTTTGCCAAAGTGGCATATCAATGTGCATAACCCAAACAAGTCCTGAACTTGGCCGCTATTCGCAATTCAAGCTAAGTGATACGCCCTCTGGAGGAAATTTGTAGAAGGTCCGTATAAGTAGCATATCGTTCACTGTTGCCAGAAGTAGCAAAACTTCGCTACGTCGTCGGATTTTAGCTCTTGAAGAAGTGGATAAGACCTTTTATTTAAGAATCAAAATTTGTGTATGGTAATATGTTATCATAATCTATATTTATTTAAGGATGTTTTTATAAAACCGATTTATTATATTGATTTTTTTATATTTCAGTTCATTTATTAATTTTGTTTTAAAATCAGTTCATCATTTGGCAACATTGGCGTTCCTGTTCATTGTTTACATTTTAATTTGTATCAATTACAATTTGAGTTTTTTCTTACTTTTTAGCTTTAAATATGTTTATTTCTTATAGCATGTGATAGTGTTTATATTAAAAATGAAATATGCGAAAAAGTCCCCAGAAAATTGCAATCTATATAGTGTTAATGTCAAAATTAAAACTGAATTATTCATTATTTTCCAAGTACAAGTCGTAAAATTTTATTTTTTACGATAAATGGATATCTACAAATTCACAATATTGAAATTTTACAAAACTTTGTTTAGAATCAAACTGTAATCTTATTTTTTGACGGTTTTATTGCCATTTACATGTATACAAAGTACTACATGATTCACTTCATAATATAAGAATAAGTCTAGTAAGATTTTTAAATAAGTTCATCCATAATAAACGTGTGGTACCTGAAATGTCCTTTAAACCACATAATAAAACATGTCCTGGGTTTAGTGAATACATATTTCTAGATGTTCTTGTAGCAACCAACAGGTGAATATTTCCAACAAATTAAGTCATCCACATGATAAATATTATATTTATGACGGAAGCACGAGACTTAAACTTAAATTAACACTAAATGAAACTCAAAAACACTATTACAATGAGAATATTATCTAAAAACAGTTAAAAAAATCACAAATACAAAATCCGCCCAAAACAAAAACATGTAAATAAACAAACATCCTACTTATAGATGACAAATGACAGGCGCGCGAAAATTAATTTGAATCGCCAATATACACAGTACCTATCGAAAGATTCTCAACCTACTTTACGTCACAGTACTCTTAATTATCGAGCTACAGTCCCAAGCGAGTAGCTATATTGTCTTCTTGGGGGGGGGGGGGTAACACTTCTCACATTATTGGTGAATGCGCGGCGTGTTATCTTAGAATATGGTGCCAATGCGACGTCTAGAGTTCACATGTGTATTTCCAGAATAAAGAGTGAGTTTTATAATGAAATTTTTAATTTTTTATATATTTATACAGGTTGTTTTAGAATAAAGTACCGTAATTTTGGAGATTTGTAGATCTTAATCAATTATAAAGAAAAGCTTAATATAATTTTCCAATAAACGTCCCAGTTTTCATTCTACAGGGTAATAAAGTGAATTTAATAAATACATATTTTCTAAATATCTTCCCTTACAGAAAAGACTTTAACTTAAAAATATGTATATGATGGTTAATCGTTATTATTAGTTAACACACTATTTCTATAAATTACCACAACCCATTGGTGTAGAATGAAGGGCTAAAGAGACAATTTTATTTAAAACTTTTTGAACATCCTATATTTCATAAAATTTAAGATTAATAAATATTTCTCAAGCCATTTGTCACAAAAAAGGGACTTGTGGTTGATCTTCGTAGACCTTTCCATTTCTGAGGTAATAGAACTGATTTATTTTATACAGAGTGTTTTGAAACATGTCTTAAATATGGCTAATTTTAAGTTAAATTTACTCAATTTTGTCAAATGCAACACACTGTATATTATTTTCGCATAAAATTCCTTAAAAATTTACCTATCCAACGATACCAACATGTCCCAATAGTGCGTAATTGATCGATAGCTGTTTTATTATTGGAAATAGGAAAAACAAATTAATATAAAAGTTGTATGACCATGTTTATTAAGTGTTCTTAAATATACAGGGTGGTCCATAAACGAGGGGCTGACCAAACTAATACATTTTTATATTTGTTTTCACATCGTCAAAAAACTTAAATAGACTTAATTTATTTGCTATGTTATACAGGGTGTTTTCGAACTTGGCGTCCAAATTTGTAGGGGTGGTAGTTCGCATAATTTGAGACCGATTCGCAGATTTCATTTTTCCAAAATATTTAAAATTAAAATAATTAAAAATTAATTAAAAGTTATAAACAGGTACGGTCCTGCACAGCGACTCGCGCGCGCTACGCTTAGAATCGACAAAATTGAAAATCGCATCTGTTTTTGAGGACTATTGCGCTACGCGCTCAGAGTAGGAGCTGCTCTTTGATTTTTTTTTAATGGCTCTATTTTGTTTATTATAATTTTGTTAGAAAAATGAAATCTGCCAATCGCTCTCAAATTTGGACGCCAAGTTCGGAAACATTTAGGGTGTTTCAAAATGAGGGGTAACGATTTTCTAATTTTTTTAAATGGAATACTTTATATGTCATACCACCAATTAATTAATATAGCGTATATAAAAAATTGAGAAAATCGTAACCTCACAGGGAGCCTTACCGGGCATTCCGACTAAAAGGACTAAAAGTAAACTGAGAGTAGTAAAGGATAGTGAGGAGGAGGAGGACGAAACCTCCATTCCAGTGTTGCCAGAATATATTTTTGTAATGTACCAGATTTATCTAAAAAATGTACCAGATTTCATAAAAATGTACTAGATTCTATAAAATTACCAGATTTTTCTAATTATGAAGTATGGTCATTAAAGACCAAAAAAAGGTTTATAGAGAACACGAACACAACAATTTTAAACAATATTTTATCTCTCGACAAATTTCTGACACTATTTTATATCTCGAGCAGTTTTTGAATAAGATTTTAAAACTTTTTGATACTCTTTTATCTCTCGAACAGTTTTTAAATCTTTTTTTAACTCTTGAGCTATTTTGAAACAATATTTTATCTCTCGATAAATTTCTAACAGTATTCTATCTCTCGAGCAATTTTTAAAAACTTTTTTTTATCCCTCGAGCAATGTTTGTACAAAATATTTTGTAAAATGTTTAACACTATTTAATCATTCGAGCAATTTTTGAAAAAGATTTTAATACCTTTTGATATTATTTTTATCTCTTGAACAGTTTTTAAAAAACATTTTTTTATCTCTTAAGCTATTTTTAAAAAATATTTTCTCTCGATAAATTTCCAACAGTATTCTATCTCTCGAGCAATTTTTAACAACTTCTTTTATCTCTCTAGCAATGTTTGTACAATATTTTTTTTAACACTATTTATTCACTCGAGCAATTTTTAACAGCCTTTTTTTACCTTTCAAGCTATTTTTGAACCATATTTGATCGCTCGTGCAATTTTTGAGCAAAATTTTAATAATTTTTAACACTATTTTATCTCTCGAGCAATTTTTATTAACATTTTTATCTTTCTAACAATTTTTAAACAATGTTTTATCTCTCGAGAAATGTTTAACAGTATTTTTTAATTCTCGAGTAATTTTTGAATAAGATATTAATAACTTATGATACTATTTTATCTCTCGAACAATTTTTAAACCTTTTTTTATCTCTTGATCTATATTTAAACAATATTTTATCTTTCGATAAATTTCTAACATTATTTTATCTCTCGAGCAATTTTTAACAACTTTTTTATCTCTTTAGCAAACTGCACAATATTTTAACTCTCGACAAATTTATAAAAATATTTTAACTCTCGAGCAATGTTTATACAATATTTTATCTCTCGAGCATTTTTTAATAGTATTTTATTTTTCGAGGAATTTTTAAACAATGTTTTATCTCTCGAGAAATTTCTAATAGTAGATTTCTCTTGAGTCAATTTTGAACAATATTTTATTTCTCAACCAATTTTTCAATAGTATTTTATCCCTCGAGCAATTTTTGAACAAGGGTTTAACATTTTGTAATACTATTTTACCTCGAGCAATTTTTGAACACATTTTAACAATTTATTATACTATTTAATCTCTGAAAAATTATTAAATATTTTTATTTCTCATTAAATTTCTAACAGTATTTTTATCACTATAGCAATTTTTGAACAATATTTTATCTCTCAAGCAATTTCCAATACTATTTTATACTTTGATCAATTTTTAACACCCTTTTTTACCTCTCAAGCCATTTTTGAACAATATTTGATCTCTCGTACAATTTTTAAACAATGTTTTATCTCTCGAGAAATATCTACTATTTTATCTCTGAAGTAACTTTTAACAACTATTTTAATTTCTCTTGTAATTTTTGACTAATATATCTTACACTTCAAATGGAAACATACGCTGAAAAAAGTACTAGATATTGTGTCGAGTGTACTAGAGTACCAGATTCTCAGATAATGTACTAGATCTAGTACAATTGTACTAGACTGGCAACACTGCCATTCACATTCTAACTGAATGTGTAGCACTCCAGAATCCAAGGGCACTATACCTAGGAGGATATCAAATAGAAACGGGAGATTTACCTAACTTGAAGCTACTCCAAATCATACACTTCCTTGAGAAGATAGGATTGGAAAGGTCGTTATAGGCATTGAGACATTTCCTTGGTGCATAAGCGACAGAAGGGGGGAACAACAGATCTTTTGGGTCGCAGTGTATTAACACCCCATTCCCAACATAACATAACCTCACGTTTTGACACACCCTATATACAACATAGCAAATAAATGACGTTAATTAAAATTGACGATGTAAAAACAATCAAATATGTATTACTCCTGCAGGGTGTTTTGCTATAAATAAGTATAGATTTGGTCAGCACCTCGTTTATGGACCACCCTGTATATTTAAGAATATTTGTTAAATATGGTCATACAACGTTTATAATAAACATTTCTTCGTATTTCTAATTAATAAAACAGCTATCGATAAATTGACTAACACATTGGTATTGTTACATAGGCAAATTTATAGGGAATTTTATGCCAAGATAATATATGTGCCATATTTAAGACATGTCTCAAATCACTCTGTATATAATAAACCAGTTGTATCACCTCTATTCGTTAGCTTAATATTTTATAAGTATGTATATTAAACAATTTTGAAATTAATGTTGACCTACCTAAATTATGATAATTTAATTTGGGGTCTGCGTCATTTTCTAAAAAAAAATCTGATGTGTCCAACACATGACTTTCCTATCTAGTTATTACAGGTTTTTTCCGGTTATTTTGTACAACCTATTGCAACACCTACATAAATGTTTAGAGAATAAACTAAATATAATATATACATTTTCCACATACATCTTTCTATTTCTATTTCTAACATTTTTCTATAGATATTCATTGAAAACGAAAATACTGAAAAATTTAAATTTAGCACATTTCCTACAATTTTTCCATTACGGCCCATTTTAGAAACAAAAATTATAGAGATCGATATCGCAAACAACTTTTATTTCAACAATTTTCATAAAAATCAGAATTTTGCACATTTTGTCAAATTTCTCGAATACGGACCATTTCAGGAAATTTTGACATAAAACAAAAATTATAGAATTAGAATTAGAAGTAACTTTTATTTAAACTATTTTTTTCTCCAAACATAAATAACAGATATATTCCATAAAATATAAAAACGGCCTCCCATAAGGTACCCCCCCCCAGATGTTCCGACTTTGTCCAAAATCTAATCATTTCACGTCAGACCGAAACAAAACTTAAGTTTAAAATGTTATGTTTTTTTCTTTATCCGTTTTTGAGTTTTCTTCAAATTTAGAAATTTACACATTTTCTCAAATATCTCGAATACGGTCTATTTTAGAGAAATTATGTATAGAATAAAAATTATAGAGAATTATATTACAAACAACTTTTGTTTAAACAATTTTTATAAAAAAATATTTTTTTACATTTTGTCAAATTTCTCAAATACGGGCCATTTTAGGAAAATTTTGTATATAACAAAAATTTTAGATAATAAGTAACTTTTATTTCAAGAATTTTCTTCCCCAAACGTAAATAACAGATATATTCCATAAAATATAAAAATTACCACCTATAAAGTACCCCCCAGATGTTCCGACTCTGCCCAAAATCTAATCAGCTCATTGAACGCTGGAACAAAGCTTAAGTTTAAAATTTGGTGTTTCTCTGTTTATCGATTCATGAGTTATGCGACACACACACACACACACACACACACACACACACACACACACACACACACACACACACACACACACACACACACACACACACACACACACACACACACACACACACACACACACACACACACACACACACACACACACACACACACACACACACACACACACACACACACACACACACACACACACACACACACACACACACACACACACACACACACACACACACACACACACACACACACACACACACACACACACACACACACACACACACACACACACACACACACACACACACACACACACACACACACACACACACACACACACACACACACACACACACACACACACACACACACACACACACACACACACACACACACACACACACACACACACACACACACACACACACACACACACACACACACACACACACACACACACACACACACACACACACACACACACACACACACACACACACACACACACACACACACACACACACACACACACACACACACACACACACACACACACACACACACACACACACACACACACACACACACACACACACACACACACACACACACACACACACACACACACACACACACACACACACACACACACACACACACACACACACACACACACACACACACACACACACACACACACACACACACACACACACACACACACACACACACACACACACACACACACACACACACACACACACACACAAACTTTGTAGGGTTGAATACAGTATTCCCAAGCCATTCTAAAGATAAAATAAAATACAGGGTGTTCTATTTAAAAAACATACACTTTTATTTGTCAGGCAAAAACGAAACCCCCTGTACATCCAAAAATATTTTTAAAATATGTATTTTTCAAATCCATATAAATTCTATTAAAACATTTTTGCTTGTCAATAACACAAATTTAAATATTATAACGTTTAAAAAATATTGATGTTGACTATAGCTTAGGGGGTAATTACCCCCATTACCCCCATTACCCCCCTTATCTACGCCCTTGTACAGTCCAGTGTTTCTCAAACGCCGCGCCGATTCTCGGAACGATACCGGTCCGCAGTGAATATTTTGTCGGTTCCCGAAAAATCCACTGGTAGTACAGCAAAATCCACGCGGGAAAAATTCAAGATTTATACCAAATCCAGACATATAATATTTGTTTAAGACCCATTTTATTTTATATAACCTATTCCCTATAGCAAGTATGCTTTTAGAATAATATTCTAGTGATATAGTATATAACATTACGAGTGTGGAAAGTGACATTTTTCACACGAGTGGGAAATATTGTCGCATGAGGCACAAGCCGAGTGCGACTATCACACGAGTATGGAAAATCACTTTTCACACAAGTGATGTACAATATTTTTCCTACGACCACAAAATAATTTCATCACAAAATGTAAAACCAGGTTATTATTATAATAATTAAAATGTATTTAAAAAAGAAATCAACATTAATCGTATTTATTCAATTTTCATATTTTCTAAACAAAAAAAGAAATTAAAAAACAAAAACAAATAAAAAAAGTTCTAGCCCCGCCAGGATTTGAACGCGGTCGCTAGCCAGGTCTCAAATGGCAAAGTTGATAAGTTTGACACTCTAACCATCTGAGATAAAAGGCCTTGCGTCAATTAAATGATCTAATCGGTTGTGTGTTTAACCAGAATTAAAAGCAAACATATCTTAGTTATTTTAAAATTATTTTAATAATAATTGTTAAAGATAAATATCTAGGATCTAATTTACAACAATTTCAATAATTTAACAATCATATCGATTTTAGTATTAATATGGACATTACATAGATCAAAATAGAAATGATGTGTTTGACATTTTGTGACAGCTGCTGTGGAAAGTAGCATATTCGTACACGGGTGGAAAGTAAATTCTTATTCATACGTGTGTGATATAGGGCACTTTCCATAGGTCTATATAGTGTGATATGTGTCAATTTCCTAAGTGGTCGTAGGAAAAAGTAGTTTTTATCTTCTTGCATTACAACATTACAAGTTTTAAGTAACTAAATTCATTTAAATGTTAAAAGAAAATTTCAAAACTATTACTCTCAGATACCAGATACCAAAAGGTTGGGTTGTTCCATCATTCCTCTAAAAAATCGTGCGGTGCGTATGCAAATCTTACTAATCTACCCGCAGAAAGGATCACAAAATACTGAGCTCGATCACAAAACTGGATCAGTAATCTACTAGTTTCCGAAAACGGATAGGGTTAGTAACACTAAGTAAACGAACAATACGATTTGTAATCTTTCTGATCCGAGTAAGTTTCCGAAGACGCCTATAATATAAAATTATTTTATAGATTTTAATAACAATTTCGCGTAAATAATTTAATGAATTGTAAATATCTGTTTAAATTTTGTAGAATTATGGTTGAGGATAATAATACTTGTTTAAATAATCATTTCTAGCCCATAAATAGATACAATTTGAAGCATTTGATTTTACTTTTTTTTTTCTATGATACGACACTGGCGAATAAACATTATTGAGAAATTCTCGAAGTCGTCCGACGGGGTTCGACGTTTACCACCTCTGCACCTACCAAAAGCCTTTCCAATTTCTGTCCCTGCTCTACTATTTGGTTAATTTTCAGTTATAAGTTTATTTTCAAATATTTGTTTATAGGTTTCGTTTAAGTAACGTAGACATTTAAAATGTGCAATTATTGAAAAAAATCAACTTTGTACTGCACTTAGGTAAGTGTACTTAAATCGGCTTACTTTGATCTAAGGAATATGTGGTATATTTTTGTAAAAACCTTTTAAATAGTACTTAAATATTAAAAAACAATAATTTGATTTGTTTTTAAATCGCATTACATGACGTTTAGAATTTTAGACTAAACAACATCTTTAATAAATTACTAACCTGTCTAGGAGAAGCATGTCCTATTGGTACAGGATGGGAAAGATGTCCTGGATAATTTTGCGGTTGTAAATTCCCAGCGTGTGAAGATCCGATAGGTGGCATTTCATGAGATTGAGGTCCAAAGTGGTTCTGTGAAGATCCAGTGGTATGCATTGATCCTCCAGAATGGGTATAAGGCTCAGTAATTTGACCATGATGTCCATGAGATGGAGTGCCCACTGGATGTACTTGAGGAGAAGGGCTGGATACATGAGGACGATTCCCGTGTGAAGGATATGGGTTACCATGTGAGGGTAAATGTGGATATAAATGAGTAGCATTAGGCATAGGGTTAACTGAGGAGTGTTCTGGAGGGTGCATAACATGAGATGGAGGCCCGTTAATATGGCCCATGGGCGACTGATAAGGACTATGAGGAGAGTGTGAAGGTGTTGGATTTTGAGAAAGAGGTCCCATAGCACTTGGCGCTTGTGGTGGTGGAAGTGCCATTGGGCTATTTTGAGACGAAGAACTCATCGTATATCTGTTAAAATTAATTTATGATATAAAATGTGATAATCTATATATATAAAATTGTTTGTCCTGACTGACTGACTGACCTATCAGCGTACAGCCAAAACTACTAGGCCTAGAAAGCTGAAATTTGGAACATAGGTTTATTTTATAACGTAAGCATCCGCTAAGAAAGGATTTTTGGAAATTTTAACTTTAAAAGGGGGAAATGGGAGGAAATGGGGGGAGGGAGTTTTTAATGAAACTCTTTGTTCTTTAAAGTTAGAAACATGAAAATTTAAATTACAGCTGCTGAGCAAAAATAAATAATGACGTGTTTCAAGGTTTTTGGATTTTTTACATTTTAAGGGGGGAAAACGGGGGGTGAAAGTTTGTAAGGGACTATCGATTTTTTTTGTTCTCTATGAAGTTAGAAACATGAACATTGGAATTGCAAATACTGACTACAAATTAATAATGACGTGTTTCAGCGTTTTTGGATTTTCCCATTTTAGGGAAGGAAATGGGGAATGAAAATTTATTTGGGAGTATCCATGTTTTTGGTTCTCTTTAAAGTTAAAAACATGAAAATTGGAATTGCAGCTACTGAGTATAAATTAATAATAATGTGTATTAGGGTTTCTATATTTTTACATCTTGAGGGGGGGCAAACGGGGGTAAAAGTTTGTATAAGAGTATAACTTTTTTTGTTCTCCTTGAAGTTAGAAACATGAAAATTGGAATTGCAGCTAATGAGTACAAATTAATAATTAGAGGTTTGTTCCAACAACGATCTTGGAACAATACATAAACCAGTCCAAAACTTATTGTTGACAATCTGTCGATTACTAATAATTGACAACTTGTCAGGTACTGGTCGGGGATTGGGATTCAACTCGGAACTCAATTATGTTGGAACACATTTTTTAAATTCAACAGACGCATTATTACAACAATAAACCACAAAATAAAATAAATGATCATAAACAAAAACTATGAAGACTAAGCTCGATTAACAAATACAAATCAGAACTGTCAGAGACAATAGATACAAATAATATAATTACAATCACGAAATGTTCAGTTTATTGCGGCTTAGCGCATGTCTTGACAATTCGTTCCTATTCAGACCCAGGAACTGATTTGACAGTACACAAATCGGTTTGTGATTAATTTTGGTTGTGTTGGAACACTATGTTTTTGTACAGTTTCGAGTCTAAGGTTTGTTGGAACACAAATTCTAGACTGCGCAGAATCCCGACAGTACACAAACTGATTTGGTTTATGTTGGAACAAACCTAACGTGTTTGAGGGTTTTTGGATTTTCACATTTTAAGGGGGGGAAACCGGGGGGTGAAAGTTTAGTTGGAAATATCGATTTTTTTAAGGTAGGAACTTAAAATTGGAATTGTAGGTTCTCATCATAAATAAATATAGAAGTGTTTCATGGTTTTCGGATTTTCACATTTTAAGGGGGGAAAACGGGGGTGAAAATTAATAAAAATTAATAAAAAATAAATAAAAATTATTAAAAATTAATAAAAAATAACAATTAATAAAAATTAATAAAAATTAATAAAAATTAATAAAAATTAATAAAAATTAATAAAAATTAATAAAAATTAATAAAAATTAATAAAAATTAATAAAAATTAATAAAAATTAATAAAAATTAATAAAAATTAATAAAAATTAATAAAAATTAATAAAAATTAATAAAAATTAATAAAAATTAATAAAAATTAATAAAAATTAATGAAAATTAATAAAAATTAATAAAAATTAATAAAAATTAATAAAAATTAATAAAAATTAATAATAATTAATAAAAATTGATAAAAATTAATAATAATTAATAAAAATTAATAAAAATTAATAAAAATTAATAAAAATTAATAAAAATTAATAAAAATTAATAAAAATTAATAAAAATTATTAAAAATTATTAAAAATTATTAAAAATTAATAAAAATTAATAAAAATTAATAAAAATTAATAAAAATTGATAAAAATTGATAAAAATTAATAAAAATTAATAAAAATTAATAAAAATTAATAAAAATTAATAAAATTAATAAAAATTAATAAAAATTAATAAAAATTAATAAAAATTAATAAAAATTAATAAAAATTAATAAAAATTAATAAAAATTAATAAAAATTAATAAAAATTAATAAAAATTAATAAAAATTAATAAAAATTAATAAAAATTAATAAAAATTAATAAAAATTAATAAAAATTAATAAAAATTAATAAAAATTAATAAAAATTAATAAAAATTAATAAAAATTAATAAAAATTAATAAAAATTAATAAAAATTAATAAAAATTAAATTAATAAAAATTAATAAAAATTAATAAAAAATAATAAAAATTAATAAAAATTAATAAAAATTAATAAAAATTAATAAAAATTAATAAAAATTAATAAAAATTAATAAAAATTAATAAAAATTAATAAAAATTAATAAAAATTAATAAAAATTAATAAAAATTAATAAAAATTAATAAAAATTAATAAAAATTAATAAAAATTAATAAAAATTAATAAAAATTAATACAAATGAGTAAAAATTAAAAAAAATGAATAAATATGAATAAATATAAAAAAAATGAATGAAAATCAATAAAACTAATAAAAATTAATAAAAAAGGAAGTCATGTATTTTTTTATATTAATAACACGACTATATGCGAGCAAAGCCGCGGGCAATAGCTAGTGCTTATATAATATCACACAAACTGTATTAAATGTATTATTTTTTATCATAAAATTGTGTGTATCTTATGACACACCTTTCAGCAAAAATATCATTTAAATAAATTTTGCCACCGATGTAAGTCCATGGGTAAGTACACCTTCACTTCATCCCTTTTAAATTTTACTTACTCTCCAATAACTTATTTGAACTATACTTTTGAATTTTTTGATATACTCTTGTTGGGAATTTATAAAAAAAAATCCAAAATTAAATAAATTAAAAAATAAATTAAAATGAAGAATATCTATACCTTTGAGTGTGAATATCTCGAAAACCAACACTTTATGAGTTCCCAACAAGAGTACATGATTTATTTATAAAAAATTATAAATTCCCAACAAGAGTACATCAAAAAATTCAAGAGTATAATTCAAATAATTTATTGGAGAGTGAGTAAAATTTAAAAGGGATGAAGTGAAGGTGTACTTACCCATGGGCTTACATCGGTGATAAAGTTTATTTAAATTATATTTTTGCTAATAGGTGTATCTTATGACATCAAAAACGTTTGGTCGGTATAATTTTATAAACAAATTCAAAATTACAAAATTAAAAATAAATAAAAATCTAATGTGTTCAACACATGACTTTCCTGTGTAGTCATTACAGGCTTTTTCTCGTTATTAAAGTAAAAAAACGGCACACTATAAAGTACCACCCCCCACCCCCGCAGGATGGATTAAAGCTTAAATTTAAAATTTGGTGTTTTTCTCTTTGTCCGTTTTTGAAAATTCGAAATTGGCACTTTTTCTCAAAATTCTCAAATACGGTCTATTTTAAGGAATTTATGTATTGGGCAAAAATTATAGAGAATGACATCACAAAGCAACTTTTATTTACACAAAAACTAAAAAAAACTATAACACTAAAAAAAATAAACTAAAAAAACTAAAAAACTAAAAAAACTAAAAAAAACTAAAAAAACTAAAAAAACTAAAAAAACTAAAAAAACTAAAAAAACTAAAAAAACTAAAAAAACTAAAAAAACTAAAAAAACTAAAAAAACTAAAAAAACTAAAAAAACTAAAAAAACTAAAAAAACTAAAAAAACTAAAAAAACTAAAAAAACTAAAAAAACTAAAAAAACTAAAAAAACTAAAAAAACTAAAAAAACTAAAAAAACTAAAAAAACTAAAAAAACTAAAAAAACTAAAAAAACTAAAAAAACTAAAAAAACTAAAAAAACTAAAAAAACTAAAAAAACTAAAAAAACTAAAAAAACTAAAAAAACTAAAAAAACTAAAAAAACTAAAAAAATTAAAAAAACTAAAAAAACTAAAAAAACTAAAAAAACTAAAAAACTAAAAAAACTAAAAAAACTAAAAAAACTAAAAAAACTAAAAAAACTAAAAAAACTAAAAAAACTAAAAAAACTAAAAAAACTAAAAAAACTAAAAAAACTAAAAAAACTAAAAAAACTAAAAAAACTAAAAAAACTAAAAAAACTAAAAAAACTAAAAAAACTAAAAAAACTAAAAAAACTAAAAAAACTAAAAAAACTAAAAAAACTAAAAACTAAAAAAACTAAAAAAACTAAAAAAACTAAAAAAACTAAAAAAACTAAAAAAACTAAAAAAACTAGAAAAACTAAAAAAACTAAAAAAACTAAAAAAAACTAAAAAAACTAAAAAAACTAAAAAAACTAAAAAAACTAAAAAAACTAAAAAAACTAAAAAAACAAAAAAAAATTAAAAAAACTAAAAAAACTAAAAAAACTAAAAAAACTAAAAAAACTAAAAAAACTAAAAAAACAAAAAAAAAAACTAAAAAAACTAAAAAAACTAAAAAAACTAAAAAAACTAAAAAAACGAAAAAAACTAAAAAAACTAAAAAAACTAAAAAAACTAAAAAAACTAAAAAAACTAAAAAAACTAAAAAAACTAAAAAAACTAAAAAAACTAAAAAAACTAAAAAAACTAAAAAAACTTAAAAAACTAAAAAAAACTAAAAAAAAAACTAAAAAAACTAAAAAAACTAAAAAAACTAAAAAAACTTAAAAAACTAAAAAAACTAAAAAAACTAAAAAAACTAAAAAAACTAAAAAAACTAAAAAAACTAAAAAAAACTAAAAAAAAACTAAAAAAACTAAAAAAACTAAAAAAACTAAAAAAACTAAAAAAACTAAAAAAACTAAAAAAACTAAAAAAACTAAAAAAACTAAAAAAACTAAAAAAACTAAAAAAACTAAAAAAACTAAAAAAACTAAAAAAACTAAAAAAACTAAAAAAACTAAAAAAACTAAAAAAACTAAAAAAACTAAAAAAACT